CCGCTGGGGAGGAAGGACGGCACCTTCAGCTCCCTGGGATACACACTACCGCTGGGGAGGAAGGACGGCACCTTCAGCTCCCTGGCATACACACTGCCGCTGGGGAGGAAGGACGACACCTTCACACTGTCGCTGGGGAGGAAGGACGACACCTTCAGCTCCCTGGGATACCCACTGCCCCTGGGGAGGAAGGACGGCACCTTCAGCTTCCTGGGGTACACACTGCCGCTGGGGAGGAAGGACGACACCTTCAGCTCCCTGGGGTACACACTGCCGCTGGGGAGGAAGGACGGCACCTTCAGCTCCCTGGGATACCCACTGTCGCTGGGGAGGAAGGACGGCACCTTCAGCTCCCTGGGGTACACACTGTCGCTGGGGAGGAAGGACGGCACCTTCAGCTCCCTGGGATACCCACTGCCACTGGGGAGGTAGGACGGCACCTTCAGCTCCCTGGGGTACACACTGTCGCTGGGGAGGTAGGACGGCACCTTCAGCTCCCTGGGGTACACAATGCAGCTGGGGAGGAAGGACGACACCTTCAGCTCCCTGGGATACACACTGCCGCTGGGGAGGAAGGACGACACCTTCTGCTCCCTGGGGTACACACTGCCGCTGGGGAGGAAGGACGACACCTTCAGCTCCCTGGGACACACACGGCCGCTGGGGAGGAAGGACGACACCTTCAGCTCCCTGTAGCTCACACTGCCGCTGGGGAGGAAGGACGGCACCTTCTGCTCCCTGGGACACACACTGGGGAGGAAGGACGACACCTTCAGCTCCCTGGGATACACACTGCCGCTGGGGAGGAAAGACGACACCTTCTGCTCCCTGGGGTACACACTGCTGCTGGGGAGGAAGGACGACACCTTCAGCTCCCTGTAGCTCACACTGCCGCTGGGGAGGAAGGACGGCACCTTCTGCTCCCTGGGACACACACTGCCGCTGGGGACCCTCGCAGGACCAGTCTAGGAGGTCCGCTACCTCGGGTACCGCTGGTTGCTGTTGGGAAAGAGGACCGGCTGTCTCTTCCCGGGCCTCATTGATGAGTTGCAGGTAATCCCACTCCAGGTTCCATTCCTTGGTGACCAAATACTGTATGTCTGCCTCGAGGTCAATAGCGCTAGGGAGCCCCAGCATGTCTTCTCGGTCGTAACACAGGTCCCAAAAACGAGAGTCAGTGGCTTTCCCAAAGTCCTCATCGTCAATATTGTCCCAAAATAGGCCAGGGCCAGCGTAACCTCCGCCTTCTGGGAACTCATACTCTGCCAACTCGGGGACACACTGAGCTGCGTACCACTGTATCGCCTGGTATGCGTCGTCGAGCGCCAGTTCTGCATATACTAAAATCTCGAGTCTAATCACCCACGCTTCTTCGGTCTTTTTCTTCAGGAGGTGCATACGCTCTGCCATTCGAGCCAAGATTCGCTGCCTTCTGCTGTGGCGCCAATCCCCTCGCGAATACTGTACTTCCTCTAGGGCTTCGTCCCACAACTCAGCTCTGGCACTCTCTCTGTATCTCAACATGTCTTCCTCTGACACTGCTCCCGACCTCAGGGATACGTAACAGTACAATCTATCTTGCAACTTCTCCTCCATTTTCTGAGTTCCTTCGTAGATAGGGGCGCTGTACGGGTACTGGCGTTGCCCTCAAATTGTAACTCCAAACGAACTGCGTCTCTGAGCTGCTTTACCTCGCACTAGGATGCCATCCCACCGCTGCCACCAATGTAACGGATCACCTGGCACCCCGTCTGGGTACCTCCGTTGAAGGATGCTCCTAGCGCTTCCTGAGGACTCCAAGCACTGCAGCAGACACCACAATCACCGAACCAGAGAAGCGTATACCTTCTCTCAAGCATATGAATGCTGTAGACAGTTGAATAGGAACCATATGAATAGGTTTACTCTCCTAGCAGTCAAACTGGAACAGCATACAATAAATCCTTCCCCCAATAATGAGGCGACACTTCACTTTGAGGGTTAAAACAGGAACTCCCTGTACTGTCACATACAGTCTCTTTTATTCCCAATCCACAAACATAGTACAGCCCACAGGGCGTTACAAAACAGCCAATCAATCCTTACAATACACCCAGACACTCCCACGCAAAATCCTCCCATCTGCCTGTGATATGATTACTGAACACAATGGGTAATCTCATTATCGCCGGCAGAGGAATACAGTTTTTACACAATATTTATTACTTCTAAAATATACATGTCACCAACATAAAACATACATTTTCATAATCAATCCATTCAGGGGAACAACATATTAAAAAATGGCACGAATCAGACCAGGGGTTCAAAAGTTAAGGGAAAGTCCTTTGTGACTAAATGAAGCATGGCTTTCCGGCCCAAATCAGTTTCAGAGTCTTCGATCCTGTAGATAATTGAGAGTAATTCAATTATCACCCAGGACAGACACAAAACTCCATTAGCCACATGGCAGACAAAGGACAATAAAAGACATAAAAATACAATAAAATATACAAGGTTACATTTATTACATAAAATACAGACATTCTACCTATCCCCAGATAGCTTAGATCTGAGCGCCCATTATTAACGGATGGCGCTCAGATCACATACATACAGTTCAATCGCCATGGAGCCAAAGTCTTTCATACAGTCTTTCAGTATACTGCTGGGCTCCATGGCATAGCTATCTGGGGTAGCATGGCTTTAACAGTCCGCAGAAAGGCACAAACCAGCCTTTCTGCAGGAAAAAAGAACGGGCCATAGTCTAAAGGCAAGAGGCGGGCAAGCAGCCCCCTCCAAGGACACGTGGCGAGGTTGGTTTCGCCGCACCCCCCAACCATGGCACATTAACACTGTCACAATAACCCCCTAATCCTGTGACACTTACCTCCCCTCACCCTGTAACACTCCCTCCTCCAACGTTGTCGCACTCACCTTTTCTCACCCTGTCACATTCACCCCCAACCTTGTCTCATTCATTCCATTGTCCTGTCACACTCACCTTGCAACAGTTACCCGTTTACTCACCCTGTCACAGTTACCCCTGAAGACAATCATCATACACACAAAGTCATAAAACATAGCTTCACCACAAACACAGTGCACAAATGCCACAGGCAGACCCCCATATACATTCTTTTTTATACTTTACTTTTCTAAATAAACCTATGTTTCTATAAAAATTTAAGTTTTATTTTTTTGCGGCCCACATAAACTTAAACCTTGTTTATGTGGCCCGTGTTAGCCTTTGAGTTTGACCTACTTGTTCTAAACCAATCAGCCCGAATTGCCAGATGCAAACCATCTGTGCTATTAATAAGTGTGTAAATAAAATAATCCCTGTTTGGTGTGACGCTCCATCTTGTTATATGGCTTCTTCTCACAGGACGACTGTCAGAAAATTGCGGTGTTCCTAGAAAATGCTCTACACAAAGACCAGACCCCACTGCACTGACCCCCTGGTCTGAAGGCCTTACAGTACCGGGAGATGAGTGTGACAAAACACATGGATGCCTATGAGAATGTGGCTTCAGATCCACCAACCTCGTAATGCATGGTCAGTTCCTCCCCGGAGGAGTGGGAGTACCTGCGCTCCAGCGACAAGCTATCATTGCTTTTCCACTGCATCTGACACTGTCTACAGTCCTGGTGACACAAGCCACAAGAAATACTTAAGAAATTTATGCTAAATGTACATCTGCTTCTTAATGCCAACTTGGCTCCAACGTCAAGGTGTTGATCCTGTGATCCCGATAACGAGTCACCTGCAAGGAAGTCTGGGATCAATTTGTCTTCCTAATAACGTTAAAAGCACAAACCACAGCTCCGTTTATATCTGCATCTTATAGCGGGTGAATTTTTGTATGCATTATGAGTTCCTGTATATAAAAAAACTATTTGTGAGATTGTGGGTCAGTGACTCTCAGTGTGTGATAAAAGCAAATCCAGGAATGTTACCAGTTTTTAGACAGACACACCGGACCCCTAAAGCACTTCTGAACCTTGTTACCAGCCCCTGGCTGTCAATTAGACAACCGGTCCTGTTACTTCCTGATTATTTTTTTTTTTTTTTAGCAATAGCCCAAAGCACCTGCCTTACAAAGACTTCTCATTGAGCTGCATTGGGAAGTCTTTGATTGGACAACCACAGAAAGTGTGGGCGGGGTTAGAAGGTGAGGTCTTGGAAAGGTCACAGACAAGAGAACTGCAAGTTGTTTTTAGATTTATATGAGAATTGCAGAAAAGAAGAGAAACAAAGATGGAAAATCTAAAGCTAATGCATACCTCCTAGGTGGGGGAGAACCCCTGTAGTAAACAATATGCAAGTAAGAAACAAAGAGGAGGATGCGACACCTGGTGTTAAAAAGTGGAATACTAAGGGAGTGAAATAGTACCTATGATAAGACTTAACTTTTAATAAATAAAATGAAAAAGTCCAAAAAGAACTAGACCAAAAACTAACCATAAAACAAGACAAATAGTACTATAGACAAAAATAATAACAAAAGATACAAAACAGCTATTTAAAAACAGCTGGAGCTGTTCCACTAATGACAATGGTGTGATAGGTACCACAGGTGAATTCTTATTGGAATGTACCGTAGTAATTCGTATACTTGGGTAGATAACATGTGATGGTAATCATACAAGATCACATTACCACCAACAAGGTGTTTCTTGATAAGTCTTAGTAAATTGATGTTTAGTAGACATTCACTGAGTTTTAGATGTAGAGTTGCTTGAGATATACCGTGGTACTTGGAATGCTTGGACACATCACCTGTTATGGTAATAGTGTGAGATCACATTACTGCCAGCACAGTGGTCCTATTCAGTCTCAGTGAATAGTTATTTGGTAGACCACCCCTGTAGTGAAATGGCTAGCCAAATCCGTAATAGCCTTGTCGCCAACGGAACAGGTAAAGTGCCGTGCCAAAATAGTCAAAGGTGTATAGTCATAAGTGCCAGGTAACAGTGCTTAATTTTCTACATTTCACTACAGGGGTGGTTGGGGTGACGAGCATTAACAGGATAGGGATTTTCTTTAGGGTAAGGGGTGCCCACGAAGGCACAATAGGGAAAGTCATTTTCTTTCTTTTATTTCCCTTTCTTATTCCCCTTTTCCTCTGTCCCTGGTGCCCTTAGAGCACGGAAGGGCAAGTCACTAAACCCTTATTTCTTTCAACCTTCCTTATCCCCTATTTTCTCCACCTCATAAAGTATCTGATATGACTATGCATCAGGTCTGTTTCCTTACTAAGCAGTAGGAGATATAGCTACATTACTTAAATGGTGTACAGAATTTACCTGTAGCCATTCCTGCCATTAATATCACCATACCAACTACTGCAGAGTGTGCCTATTAGCAATCCTATATCGAAGACTCCATTTAGTCTACCAAATAACGATTCACTGAGACTGAATAGAACCACTGTGCTGGCGGTAATGTGATCTCACACTATTACCATAACAGGTGATGTGTCCAAGCATTCCAAGTACCACGGTATATCTCAAGCAACTCTACATCTAAAACTCGGTGAATGTCTACTAAACATCAATTTACTGAGACTTATCAAGAAACACCTTGTTGTTGGTAATGTGATCTTGTATGATTACCATCACATGTTATCTACCCAAGTATACGAATTACTACGGTACATTCCAATAAGAATTCACCTGTGGTACCTATCACACCATTGTCATTAGTGGAACAGCTCCAGCTGTTTTTAAATAGCTGTTTTGTATCTTTTGTTATTATTTTTGTCTATAGTACTATTTGTCTTGTTTTATGGTTAGTTTTTGGTCTAGTTCTTTTTGGACTTTTTCATTTTATTTATTAAAAGTTAAGTCTTACCATTTCACTCCCTTAGTATTCCACTTTTTAACACCAGGTGTCGCATCCTCCTCTTTGTATCTTGCTTGTTTTTAGATTTACCCCCAATGAAAGAATGCATGTGTAGTTTCATTGAGGTTATGTATACTAAACAGTGATTTATTTAGGGTTTGTTTTTTTTGGGGGGGGCAGTGGAGTGTCCCTTTAATGACAATGTCAATCATTCTGATTGCAGAAACCACGTTCTGAAGGTCAAGGCCCTAGAGGTGTATATAAGTTTAATTAACCTCTCCTTAGTCATATCCTTACTCTTGTCTTTTTTCCATGATTGGAAGAGAAGTTTTAGACTTGGGTCACAGATTTTAATAGCATTCTGTGGAAGAACATTACCACGGGAAGGACAGGAGGTACATTCAGGGACCAAGGGTGGAATGCAGAACACACAGAAAGTAATGCACACATGTTGTAAGTTTGTTTTATATCTTAAAACATAGAATACTATTTTTTATTTGGATGGTTTAATGCAATATTTCCATGTTTGTGATTAAACTGTAAGAGAAGCCTAATTTAACACATTATCAGTATATGTATTATTCTAGATAGACATATCTGTGTGGTTTATTTATCTACATTCCCCAAAGAAGTAACTTTTCTAACAATATACTATAGCTCTTTAAAAGAAACGTTAACTAGCCCCTGGCTGTATGTGCCATCTCTGGAACAAGAGGCTGTGACCCCCTGGGTTCTGTCAATCTAGCGTGATATGTGTCTGGAAAGTACAATTTCTGTTTATTTAATATGAAACTGTTGAGTTTTGCTGATCTGACCTAATTTTATCCAAAATAGAGGATTATTATAATCATTCTCTCTCTCAGCCCAGCTCTGACGTATCTTATTAGACAGGGATTGACAGCTATTCTGGTATTTTCACCACTTTTATTTTTCCCCCATCATTCTAAGGCAGCTTGGGCCAAGGGGCATTCACTCAACTTCACACACTAGGAAGCCTTCACCAGCTGCACACTACTCTAACGCTGCTTTGGGGATCAGATGGCGGTCCTTCCTAGCAAGGCATAACTCTGTCAAGTAGTCTTTGGACTTATAGGGGTAAATGTAGACAGCGTAAATATAACTAGCCATGTGGGTAATGCCTGCTTGGGAGCATTTTATATGACAGCTCACTAAGACGATAAGACTGATTCTACTCATATGGATTAAAGGCTGGGCCTACAGAGAATACCATACGCCTCATCATTGAAGGTGGCCGATAGCTCTATAGACCCTGTAAGCAGGGGGCGGCTTCTATCACACTTTAGACACCCCAGGACCGTATCACAGGTTGAACCATGAACAGACAGGTATTTTACCTCTTTATAGCTTGCCCTAAGGGGTGATTGCTCGGGTGCATGTAAAATGGGGATTTAGTTTACTGGGGCAATCAGACACATCCTTTCCATGGCAGTAAGAAGGGTGGACTGGTGGCAAGTGCTAGCCACAACTAATTGAAAACTATGGAAAAAAGTGTTTGTTGTAATGGATGGTGTCTAGGGGGTGCAAGAATGATAGACCACCAGGCTCCCCCTGTCCTTGTTATTCTGTCAGCCCACGGGGAGGACAGGCCCTCAGGCTTCCCATGTCCTGGTTATTCTGACAGCCCCAGGGGAGGACAGGCCCTCAGACGCCTCATGTCCTGCTTATTCTGACAGCCCCGGGGGAGGACAGACCCTCAGCCTTTCCATGTCCTGGTTATTCTGTCAGCTCACGGGGAGGAGAGGCCCTCAGGCTTCCCATGTCCTGGTTATTCTGACAGACCCTAAGACTCCCCATGTCTTGGTTATTCTGACAGCCCTGGGGGAGGACAGACCCTCAGACTCCCCATGTCCTTGTTATTCTGACAGGCCCTCAGTCTCCCCATGTCCTGGTTATTCTGACAGCCCCGGGGGAGGAAAGACCCTCAGGCTCCCCATGTCCTGGTTATTCTGACAGCCCTGGGGGAGGACATGCCCTCAGGCTCCCCATGTCCTGGTTATTCTGACTGCCCCGGGGGAGGAAAGACCCTCAGACTCCCCATGTCCTGGTTATTCTGACAGCCCCAGGGGAGGACAGGCTCAGGCTCCCTATGTCCTGGTTATCCTGACAGCCCCGGGGGAGGACAGGCCCTCAGGTTCCCCATATCCTGGCTATTCTGACAACCCTGGGGGAGGACAGGCCCTCAGGCTCCCCTTGTCCTGGTTATTCTGACAGCCCTGGGGAAGGACAGGCCCTCAGGCTCCCCACGTCCTGGTTATTCTGACAGTCTGGGGGACGACAGGCCCTCAGGCTCCCCATGTCCTGGTTATTCTGAAAGCCCTGGGGGAGGACAGGCCCTCAGTCTCCGCACGTCCTGGTTATTCTGACAGGCCCTCAGTCTCCGCACGTCCTGGTTATTCTGACAGGCCCTCAGGCTTCCCATGTCCTGGTTATTCTGACAACCCTGGGGGAGGACAGGCCCTCAGTATCCGCACGTCCTGGTTATTCTGACAGGCCCTCAGGCATCCCATGTCCTGGTTATTCTGATAGGTTCTCAGGCTCCCCATGTCCTGGTTATTCTGACAGGCCCTCAGGCTTCCCATGTCCTGGTTATTCTGACAACCCTGGGGGAGGACAGGCCCTCAGTCTCCGCACGTCCTGGTTATTCTGACAGGCCCTCAGGCCTCCCATGTCCTGGCTATTCTGATAGGCCCTCAGACTCCCCATGTCCTGGTTATTCTGACAGCCCCCGGGGAAGACAGGTCCTCAGACTCCCCATGTCTTGGTTATTCTGACAGGCCCTCAGGCTCCCCATGTCCTGGTTATTCTGACAGCCCTGGGGGAGAACAGATCCTCAGACTCCCCATGTCCTGGTTATTCTGACAGCCACCGGGAGGGGATGACAGGCCCTCAGACTCCCCATGTCCTCTGGCACACACACAATATTAACCGGCATAACCTGCTTTGTGTACAGGTTTAATACCAAATTAACGCTCCATATGAAGAGATCAGTTGTTAATATATTGTGACCAATTAAAAGGAATTAAAATATGCTGTTGCTTTTTTGTATTTTATTTTAGCATTGGGTACATATCAGAATACAGCCAACCAGACATTAACGGATCACGTTTAATGTCTATTCTATCCATAATTAATCCTCCAGTGCAGATAGTGTGCATAAAGGGTTAATACAGTGTGTGACTTAGCCTGCTCTGATCACACTAACAACTGGTGCAGGACAAAATGCAACTGCACACCCTTCCCTCCACCTCCCTATGTCCACTTTCCCTCCAGGCAGCGGAGCCCTTTATGTTGGCTGGGAAAGCCAAACTTTCACCAGCAGGAGATACATGCAAAGCGCCTGGAATTCCCACATAGGTTTAGCATTTGCCACTAGTCCAGAGGTTCGGCATCTACCTGGCACAACATTCAAACCAAGAAAAGAGCTAATAGAAGTGAAGGCAAAGGAGGTGGAGGACTAATAACAACTAGTGAAAGTTTGGCGGAGGCCCCCTTCCTTTCAGCAGGAGGGGGACCTCTTTATGATGACCTACACTTACTGGACAACAAAGGAATGAGATAGGGGATCAGTGCTCTCCAACTCAAATAAACACAAAAAGGCAGCTAAATTGGGTCAATGGGGGCTCCCTCATAAACACCACAGAG